TGTGTGTGTGTGTGTGTGTGTGTGTGTGTGTGTGTGTGTGTGTGTGTGTGAGAGAGAGAGAGAGAGAGAGAGAGAGAGAGAGAGAGAGAGAGTGGGCGAACTGCGGCTAAACAGTCTGTGCAACCATGGCCATGAGAACTCTGGCACGAGGAACAATCGAAAGATAGAGCATACCGAGCCGTTAGGCAGGATAACTCAAGACATGAAGCACAAACGTAAGATAGAGTAACTCAAGCTCGCACTACTGCCAAATGGAGCAAAACAGTACATAGCACATATGGTCGCTCGACCGGTTTCGCCCGTCCGCACGGGCCTCATCAGGAGGGTGACTCGAAATAGTCTTCGGGCTTGACTTCAAGCTCGCAAAAGGGAGACTAAAGCCGTGTCTCCCGGATTTAAACTCGTCACCTCAGCCACTTCCCCCTCGACCGACGCAAGTATCCTTGTCCAACATGCTCCCAAGTCCAAAAAAACTAAAGCCAGATCCCGTATCCAACCATACAAGTTGTCCAGTTACCATTGGTAATGACCAAACGGTCTGCTGGTGAAGCCAAAAAGACTGCAAAAACTTTGCCGATCAAGACTGTTAACCAGTCGCCGCGCCAAAGAGAAAACCGTAAGTCCTAAATCTGTACTCGGTCCTACCCCTAGTCCAGAGTCTTTCCTGTAGAAGTAACTAAGCGACCCCGGAATGTATGCCGGTCAAGATTGCGTCTTAGTCCGAGCGTCCCACAAGGCTAGTATCAGTATCCGGTCCTAGTCTCAATCTGGATACTAGTATTACACAAGCAAAAAGAGTCCGAAAAACAAAAAGAGTCCGAAAAACAAAAAGGAGTCCGAAAAACGAAAACAGAAGGGAGTCCGGAAAAACTAGAGTCGGTCAAGACTCGTTGACCTCGCCACAAGCACCTGTAGCCCGTACCTGTCTGTACTTGGAGCCTGGATACCGGTAGAAAAACAAAATAGAAGAATACGGACGCGGAGGGCCTCGGTACTCTCGGTCTTCCAGGCTATCGAGCTTGTACCGGGCGTCGCCCCCAATCGTCAAACTTTGCCGAAATACCGAATTTAAATTACCAAAATTACACAATAGTTTATGGTTCGTCGGATAGTCCCCAGCCAAAATGATTTCAAATGGAATCACTTAGTGTCTGATTCTCCGTATGCATGTCGAACGTCGAAATGTCGAGAGCACCACGTGTAGTGCTCGGTCGGGCACAGCCTTGGCCAAGTCGGCCAGGGCACCGAGAGAGACCTCCGCGGGGTATCCCCGGAGGTCTGCTTCGCAAACCATCAAACCTATGGCGCCTAGCACCAGTTGCTTGTCAGTAGAGTGGTCCCACAGTCTTTTGATTCTCATCGATAAGATTGCTTTCATCACGCTCTTAGCTGAGTGGGATTGGTAGTCTTGAATCGTTTGAAAAAACAGTTTACCTTCCTTGTAGAGCGGCTCGGTGTTCTTCATAGCCGGTACGAAGTGCAGTTTTAATGGGGTTGTGCAGATCAGCATTAATACCCCGACAAAATCCCATGTCAAACCGCAGTTGTCCTTCTGGACCACGTCGAGTTTCTCATCATAGATTCTCTCAAATCGGCTAAATACCTATTCGTCGCCTCGGTCGTTGTTCGTGTAGGTCCTTTTCCCAACGATTATAATCATATCATTCATGATTTGCCAACCACCGTCTACACTCCTATCACCTCCCAAACTTCGGATAAACTGCAGTTCTGCCATGGCATACGTAATCGATGCTAGAATATGACTCATCAATTTCCCCATAGGATACCGAATATTTGTTTAACTAGCTTTGTCCCTCAACGCACCACCAAGTGACTCAGTTCGTACTCGACTGCTCTCAGTAACATAATAAGAGAGATGCTAACATATCCTTCCATCTTCCTCATATTGCTGCTAATCATGCAGAGCTTCCCTCTAAGTGATACCCTCACCTGTCGGCACCCTTCGATCTCGTACCTCTGAAGAAGTGAATTCACTTCTCCGAGAACTGCCGAATGCGGAATCCGCGAGAACATGTCCTTCACATCATAACATTTCCCGACGGCGCTGCCGCACCCGGCTGTTCTCAACTTAACCGTTGTAGCATCCAGACGTTCAGCCAGCTCTGAAACGGAGTTGAGGTAAAAGGTGCAGTTCATGGGCAATCTAACTAACAGACAGTGTAGAGCCCGTGCCACTCGCCGCTGTGCGAGTGCTGCCGGGTCAACTGGTGCTGGTGTGATCGGTCTCCATCGAGTGAGATCCTTATGTTTCGCTATAACATAGGTTGTACCAAACCGGCCGTCTGGTCTCCAGCTTCCGATTGTGTGCAATCTCTTATCTAAGAAGTCCTCCTTGTTAGCCTTCATAATTTCTCCCTCGGCATCAACCTCGCCCACCCGTTCATAGTTAGCATTCCAAAAAAAGGTCTTCCCAAAGCCATGTCGATAGAGCATTGGACACATGACGACTGTGTCTCCTTGGTTTGGGTCGATAGAAGTCAGGACCAGACCTTTAAACTTCAAAGCCCACTCACGTACTTCGGCATCCGTCCATGCAGGGTTGTCGGAAGCCCGATCCACCCCCACCTCCTCGCGCACGATCCTCCGTAAAGGTGCTCGCATCAAGTGTTTCGTGTCTTCCAGGATCGCGGAGCTGATGGTTTTCACCATCCCAGTATCTGCAGGTCTTGTAATATTCCTCGAATTTCTGACAAAATGCCGTATTTCGAGATCCGAAAAACGAGTCAGTACATGCCCATCGCGTTTAGGGAGACTTAACTCCCTGCAAGGACCGTCCTGTTCCCGTTCTGATGCAAACACTTTCTGGTTGTGCATAATTTCAGCCACATTCCGGTTGCGAACCCAAACGATCCGTACCCGAGTTTGTACAAACACCGCAAGCTCCCTATCTTCGACGGCGGCCTCAAATACACGACCTGCGGCTTCCCTCACCCCCTTCTTTTTAATCCGTGAATCAAATGGTAGTTTTATGCAAATCCTCCTCCTCACGCTAATACCAGTCTTCTTGCCAATCACTCTATCCAACTTCGTGCGCAATCTGTGTTTCGTCTGTTTTTCCGTGAAGAGTCTCGCTGTCTTGTACGACCCAATTAGTTTTCTGGTAGTAAAATATGTCAGCCTCGAGTCAGGTTTCGGTCGACGATGAAGCGTGGTCAAGAACGCCTTATGCCGTTCAATAACTGACTTAGACTTTACGATTTTCCTGATGCGGACCTCTCCTTCCAGTTGAAGTGTTAGTTTAGCCTTTCCTAGTCGGACCCTCCTACCGTCTATTTCCAATTCTGTATCACCAAAGCTTCGTCTTAACCTCCTCCAACCGTCCATCCAGATTGTACCACTCGTACATCTAACGGTGAATGGTTCCTCGCCAATGTGTTGTTCGAGCCACCACCGGAGTGAAGCATATTCCACCTCGTGCGCACGAAATATGACCGTCTTACCTGCGTGCAATCTGTAAGCTCTACCTATTCGTTCACGTCTCCCCCGCCTACGCCTCTTTGTCCGAAATTTCTCCTTCTTACCTGAGAGATGCTTAACGGCCTTGTAAATATTCAACAATTTTTTACAGAAGATTCCGTGCATAGGTAGCACGACCACTCTGACCATCTTTTTTCCTCATACCTATACTTCTTTGAGAACTTAGTCATTTTTGGGCTTCGCTGAAGATTACACGTATTTTTCTTCATTTTTTTCCTTGGGTACTTAGTCGTTTTTAGGGTCCTCGTCCTCTTAACCCTCCCCAGGGCTTCGCCGAAGATCACATTTATTTTTCTTCTTTTTTTTTCCTCGGCAACTTAGTCGTTTTTGTGGGTTGACCACCCACTCAACCTCTCAGGGTTTCGCCGAAGATTACAGTTTTTTTTTTTTTGGGGGGGGGGGAACTTAGTCATTTTTTTTGTCCTCGTCTGCTTAAACCTCCCAGGGCTTCGCCGAAGATAACACTTATTTTTCTTCTTTTTTTTCTTTGGGAACTTAGTCGTTTTTGTGGGTTGACCACCCACTCAACCTCCTCAGGGCGTCGCCGAAGATTACACTTATTTTTTTTCTTTTTTTCCTTTGCGAACTTAGTCGGTTTTAGGGTCCTTGTCCTTTTAAACCTCCAAGGGTTTCGCCGAAGATCACACTTATTTTTCTTCTTTTTTTTCTTTGGAAACTTAGTCGTTTTTAGGGCTCTCGTCCTCTTAACCCTCCCCAAGGCTTCGCCGTAGATTACACTTACTTTTCTTCTTTTTTTTCTTTCGGAACTTACTCGTTTTTAGGGACCTTGTCCTCTTAACCCTGCCCAGGGCTTCGCCGAAGATTACACTTATTTTTCTTCTTTTTTTTCCTCCGGAACTTAGTCGTTTTTTTTATCCTCGTCCTCTTAACCCTCCACGGGTTCCGCTGAAGATTACACTAATTTTTTTTATTTTTTTTCTTAGGGAACCTGGTCGTTTTTAGGGTCCTCCTCTTCTTAACCCTCCCGGGGCTTCGTTGAAGATTACACTTATTTTTCTTCTTTTTTTGCTCTGGGAACTTAGTCGTTTTAGTGGGTTGACCACCCACTCAACTTCCCCAGGGCTTCGCCGAAAATTACATTTATTTTTTTTCTTTTTTTCCTTTGAGAACTTAGTCCTTTTTAGGGTCCTCTTCCTTTTAACCCTCTCAAGGCTTCGCCGAAGATTACACTTATTTTTCTTCTTTTTTTTCTTCGGAAACTTTGTCGATTTTAGGGTTCTTGTCCTCTTAACCCTTCCCAGGTCTTCACCGAAGATTACACTTACTTTTCTTCTTTTTTTTCATTCGGAACTTATTCGTTTTTAGGGTCCTCGTCCTCTTAACCCTGCTAGGGTTTCGCCGAAGATTACACTCATTTTTCTATTTTTTTTTCCTCCACAACTTAGTCATTTTTTTGGTCCTCGTCCTCTTAACCCTCCCAGGGCTACGCCAAAGATTACACTTATTTTTCTTCTTTTTTTTCTTTGGGAATCTAGTCGTTTTTAGGGTTCTCGTCCTCTTCACCCTCCCAGGGCTTCGCTGAAGATAACACTTATTTTTCTTCTTTTTTTTCTTTGGGAACTTGGTCGTTTTTCTGGGTTGACCACCCACTCAACCTCCTCAGGGCTTCGCCGAAAATTACACTTTTTTTTTTTTTTTTTTCTTTGGAAACTTAGTCGTTTTTAGGGTGTTCGTCCTCTGAACTCTCCCCAGGACTTCGCCGAAGATTACACTTACTTTTCTCCTTTTTTGTCTTTGGGAACTTAGATGTTTTTAGGGTCCTCGTCCTCTTAACCCTCCCAGGGCTTCCCCGAAGATTACACTAATTTTTTTTCTTTTTTTTTCTTCGGGAACTTAGTCGTGTTTGTGGGTTGACCACTTACTCAACCTCTCCAGGGCTTCGCCGAAGATTAAACTTATTTTTCTTCTTTTTTTTCTTTGGGAACTTAGTCGTTTTTAGGGTCCTCGTCCTCTTAACCCTCCCCAGGGCTTCGCCGAATATCACACTTATTTTTCTTTTTTTTTTTCTTTGGGAACTTAGTCGTTTTTATGGGTTGACCACCCACTCAACCTCCCCAGGGTTTCGCCGAAGATTACACTTATTTTTCTTCTTTCTTTTCTTTAAGAACTTAGTCGTTTTTAGGGTCTTCTTCCTCTTAACCCTCCCAGGGCTTCGCCGATCATTACACTTATTTTTCTTATTTTTTTTCTTAGGGAACTTAGTCATTTTTAGGGTCCTTATCCTCTTAACCCTTCCCAGGGCTTCGCCGAAGATTACACTTAGTTTTCTTCTTTTTTTTTCTTGGGAACTTAGTCGTTATTAGGGTCTTTGTCCTCTTAACCCCTAGGGCTACGCCGTTTCCTTGGGAACTTAGTCGTTTTTAGGGTCCTTGTCCTTTTAACCCCCAGGGCTACGCCGAATATAACACTTATTTTTCTTTTTTTTTCCCTTGGGAACTTAGTCGTTTTTGTGGGTTGACCACCCACTCAACCTCCTAAGGGCTTCGCCGAATATTACACTTATTTTTCTTCTTTTTTTCTTTTTGTGAACTTAGTCATTTGTAAGGTACTCGTCCTCTTAACCCTCCCTAGGGCTTCGCCGAAGATTACACTTATTTTTCTTCTTTTTTTTTTTTTGAAAACTTAGTCGTTTTAAGTGTCCTCGTCCTCTTAACTCTCCCAGGGCTTCGCCGAAGATTACACTTACTTTTCTTCTTTTTTTTCTCTGGGAACTTGGTCGATCTTAGGGTTCTCGTCCTCTTAACCCTCCCAAGGGCTTCGCTGAAGATTACACTTATTTTTCTTGTTTTTTTTTCCTCGGGAACTTTGTCGTTTTTGTAGGTTGACCACCCACTCAACCTCCCTAGGGCTTCGCCGAAGATTACACTTATTTTTTTTCTTTTTTTTCTTTGGGAACCTAGTCGTTTTTAGGGTCCTCGTCCTCTTAACCCCCCAGGGTTTTGCCGAAGATTACACTTATTTTTCTTCTTTTTTTTCCTCAGGAACTTCGTCGTTTTTGTGGGTTGACCACCCACTCAACCTCCTCAGGGCTTTGCCAAAGTTAACACTTTTTTTTTTTTTTTTTTTCTTTGGGAACTTAGTTGTTTTTAGGGTCCTCGTTCTTTTAACCCTCCCAGGGCTTCGCCGAAGATTGTACTTTTTTTTTTTTTTTTTTTGGGAACTTAGTCGTTTTTGTTGGTTGACCGCTCACTCAACCTCCCGGGACTTCGCCGAAGATTACACTTATTTTCTTCGTTTTCTTTTGGAAGGACTTAGTCGTTTTTAGGGTCCTTGTCCTTTTAACCTGTCCCAAGGCTTCGTCGAAGATTACACTTTTTTTTTTTTTTTTTTTTTTTTTTTTCTTTGGGAATTTGGTCATTTTTAGGGTCCTCGTCCTCTTAACCCTCTAAGGGCTTCGTTGAAGATTACACTTATTTTTCTTTTTTGTTTTCTTTGGGAACCTAACCGTTTTTAGGGTCCTCGTCCTCTTAACCCTTTGAGGGCTTCGCCGCACAAGCGGTTATCGGGTAGCTGAAAATTCAGGAATGAAAATTCTGAAGTGAGAGTTTTGGGAAATCTGAAAATCCTGAATGGTTCTGAAGTCGTGAAAGCTCCGAAGACCCTGAAAACCACCTGTTTATGCATACTGCATCCTGAAGTGGTCAAGTTAGAATTTTTGGCAGTCAGAAAATCCTGAACGATTTTGAAGTGGTGAAAGGTCTAAAGACCATGAAAACCACTCTACACCACTTGAGGATGCAGCCTGCCTAAACAGGTTGTTTTCGGGGTCTTTGAAGCTTTCACCACTTCAGAACCATTAAGGATTTTCAGACTTGAATGCACCTGAAGTGGTGAATGGTCCGAAGACCCAAGATTTAGTATTTCTCTTACTTTATTTTCAAAAAGAAAGACAAATATGGGCAGGGGATTGAACCATTCACAGTAGAAACAATGTTCAGCTTGCCCAAACTATTTCCATTTATATCTCTTTTCTTTTTTTAACGATATGGCTTAACGCTGGACCATTCACAGTAGAAACAATGTCCAACTGCCAGTTCACATGCAAATATACATAAAGTACTTTCCTTTATACTCTGTTTATTTTACGTGCGTGGTTTGTAGGCTAAACCATTCACCATGGAAACAATGCTTAGCCTTAGACCAAAAATTCTTCCTCATAATAAACAAGAATTTAAACCCCTTCAATCAGGCAAATCCTCAGAGTTAACTAGGGTAGTCAGGCCATTCACAGAAGAAACAATGCCTGGTTCCACAGAAAACAATCAAATAAACACAGCGACCAGACCATTCATAATAGAAACAATGCGTGGTCCTTCATAAAACAGCCAAATAAACATAGCCCTGAACCATTCACAGTAGAAACAATGTTAAGGCTTTGGTTGACCCTGTCAATCACAAGCAGTCTGCCTTCCTCCCACCTCCCCCCGGTTTATCCCTTGTCCAACAAGCGCTGTTAGCTCAACTTGTGATTACTGTGAAAACTGAAGGAGATGGCCGTTGTAGGCGGGACGGTTGATGACTCATGGTAAATGACGGGGGAGCAGGCCACTATGGCTTCCCTCCACCACTGCAGTAAATACGCAGGCTTGATGATGAATCCCCGCTAGAGCACGGGAAAATTTATTAAGCAGAATGGGGAGTGGTTCTTCCGCTGGCACGCGACCAGAAGAAGTGCGCTTCGGCGCAAAGCGAGGAGCAGCCGCAGTCCACCGGGTGAGCCCACTCTCTCTCTTAGCTGTAGCTCTCGAGCCCGTACTCACCACGAGGAGGCGAATCTTCTTCCAAGCCACGGGGAGATGCACTCAGGTGGCTATTCCCCGCCGACCAGGTACGTGCGTCCGTTCTTCTTCGCTCTTCGCTTCCTTCGTACGTAGACACACCCCACATCCCTGTTCACTTAGCCCTCTTCCTTTCCCACCTTCTATCCAATGCACCTACCTATGATCCCAGACAGGTTCACACAGTGCCCTTTCGGCCATGCCTACGGAGGGATAGCGGGAGGCTATTTCGACCGATCGGAAAGGCATCGCACTGGTCAACAGGTAACTCGCCAGCTGCTAGCCTCCCCCCCCTTGCTACAGCATGAGCAAAAATCGAATGAATCTTCCGTTAGAAAAGGGAAAGATACATCGCCATATTCAAACCTTCTTCCTCTCCGCGCAGCACCTCATATCTATGCCACTCGAACCCTCGACCTATCCTCAAATCTGGCTTCGCCATCGGCTTCGCCCTGCCATAAAACCCCTGAGTAGGATCTTTCCCCGCCCATTTCCATCAAGGATTTGGCGGTTTCTCTCACTGTCATTCTCCCACCTACACTCTCTCCCGTCATAACTCCGCGCAGTCTTTTCTCTCCCAACCTCTCAATCTGCTAAGTTTCCTCTAAAACTAACTCCATCTTCGTATTCGTCTCCACCCAAAACCCCGAAAACATTTTCTTCCTCGCCCGATTCCGATCACGATTGGGTGAGTTACGCTTTCCTACCTCCGCCGAGTTCGTCACCAACCATCTCTGTTTTTCCTCCGAATGTACCTTATGCTCACCCGTGTCCAAGTTCACCCACTCCCATTCTTCATCCTGTTAGCGCCCGTAGCCCTGTTGCCTCGCCTCGCCCGCTATAGTTAGTGTAGCGCCCAACAACCACTATGGCGCGATCCTGCCTGATCGATAGTTTGCGTCACTCGCCACCCCTCCTCAGCTGGCGCTCCCGCCATCTTAGTTATGGTCGTATCTGACACAGAGCCCCCGCCGGTTCGTTCACCCCTCTTCCCGGCTTTCCCCTTCTCGGCGTTTCCCCGTACTCTTCCCCGTCGTAGCGCTTGGCCGCACACAGCGCACTTCATTGGAATTATGAGGGAACTAGCTACTAGACGGATCGATTAGTTTGCGGCTCCTGTACCCAAGTCCGACGAGGTAGTCCGCACGGCAGCATTGTTGTTGTCTGATCCCGCCGGGTTCTACCCATTCGCTTCGCATGTGCCTGCGGCAGAACCCCGGACGGGTTCATTCGCCGCAGTACCAAGGCCTTTCGCCCTGTGTTTTCGGACAGTTCGCGAGTATACCCACCGCCCGTGGCTTTGTTCATTACGGCGCCTAGCGCCCGTAGCCACGCCAGCCTTCTCTACATCATTCTAATTTTAACGGATGTCCCGAAGGGCTTGCCCTGGGCCACGGGGTCAATCAGCCCCGGCCCTCAGTCAATTTGGAATATTCGGCTTTTACTCATCAAAACCTATCATCCTGGGTTTGAACGTGGTCCGTATGTCAACAGTTCAATCGTGCGCCCAGTGAGCTAGGCTTTTGGGCGCCTGCTACACCCACGGTACCGCGCTCCGGGCCAAAGCGGGGCCGCGCATAATAATAATAAAGAAAAAATAAATAGATAAAATAAATAAAAACAAAAGATAAAAGACATAGAATATCATAAATAAGGGCCCCTATGCACGGTGCGGGGACTGCTAAAGCCCCACCGGTCCCGTGGGCCGGCCCCGCCGCTACGTCTGTCAACAAAAACCAGAGGGGGATAGCCCTTCGATCCTCAACCCCTCGGTTTTCTCCGCACGCTCTGCTGCAGTTGTTGCTCCAACGCCCGCCGACCTCGACCCCAAAACCTCCTTAGCAATAGTCCGATGCCGTAACCTATAGGGCAAGCCCATACCTGAGACCAAAACGCGCCGAATGCCATATAAGGCGGTGCGGCGCGACGCTCAGGACCAGGGAAATTGGCCTGAGTCTCATCTCCGCCTACAACCATGCGCGCGGCCGCCCAGCGTCTGTGCCAACTTACCAAAGTTGTACCACAACCACCACTTGCGCTCCTCCGTGTGCCTAGATCTGCCACAGTCACACGGTCGCCGTTGTCGCCGTCGTCCTCGCACGCGCACTCCCCTCGGCCAACGCACCAATCAAAAGGGAAATATCCCTAGTTCCTACTTACTCAAAAATGAATAAGTAATAATAATAATACCAAGCAGAACGACCGAGGTCCGGGCCGACTTTACGATCTATAACAGAAAAGAATCACGCACGCCTTAAACCTGCGCGCCCACGCACTCGCTATTCTGGTCAACCACCCTGTCACGCTTTTATAGACGCAGCCGTGCTTAGCGTGGTATACTTCAACTCTAGACCAAAACTATTTTCTGTCACTTGCAAAAACCAGGGCGGATACCCTTGTAAGGGTATTCGCACCGACAGCTTACAGGACCATATTAAGCGACATCCCCGTCGCTTCGCCAAATCAGAAAGTTATAAATTCATCCACACCCCAAATGCTGACGAAACAGGAGTCAATCCGATTAGCCGATAAACACAGGGTAGAGGTGTCCATCAAACCATGCCTCCACAACTATATGCTGCCAGGCTCCTAACCCGGGCCTCTCACCGCCCAGAAATTAGGACGCTGACCGCATAAGTTTCAAAGACCTTCCCAATCGTCCTCTCCCTTGTCCTAGACAACCTTCGGCTTCTCGTTGGGTGTCCCTAGTCCTGGCAAAAACTAGGGACGCGGGCCTTTATTGAGACCTTTTGAAGGCACTCTCGCCTTCCTTCACTAAATCTCTCGCAATCAGATACACATAAGTATATATGTATACTTAATATCCGCTCAGCTCTTTCTGCAGTCTCGTACAGAAAGGTTAGCTCTCCCTCTTGGCCAACCATAGCCTGGCTAATCGGATCAGGACCACGGTCCACCGCATTGTTATTTACCAGCAGTACCCTCGTTGGTTACGCAACGATGGGTTTTCTCTTGATAAACATTCAATCGGGATTTCCCTCAAAAAATTCTCAACCATCACTATCCCGCGAAGTAATTTCACTAGGGCGGGCACCCCCCCCTTAAACTCTTACCCACGCGGTCCCACAGCCAGGTTGCGCCAACTAGTAGCCATCCAATGGGGTTACGCCCTAGAGGTACTAACTTCTTTTCCATTAGCTTGACCTTTCTTCAATATGTCTCAGAATTAGCATCAGTGGTTAGACAAGGGCGTCGCATAACAAAATCACTGGCTCACAAAGCGATACGCAGGGGTCCGAAGGCATTTACCAGCCCTCCCTCAATAGGCATGGCATCCTTCGCACGCTTACAAACAAAATCACCGCTAAATCCACCAGGCCGTGACCCCTGGCTTGATTAGAGCGAGCAGCCACCCACCCTGAGACATCTCTCGCCCTGCACTCATTGCGACTTTCTCAAAACATTCCAAATAAAAGTGACCCTTTTCGTCAGACTTTATCACTCATCAGACAACTTACTATGTTATAAATCAGTTTACTCACCTTTGAAGGTGAGTCTCCCATCAACAAAAACATCCCCTTTTCCAAAAATCCAAGAGGCTCTTATCATAAACAAAACACCCCCTCTTCCAAATATCACGAGGGGTCTTGCCACAGAACAAAACATCCCTTCTACCAAGAATCACGAGCGGTCTCGCCATAAAACCAAACTTCCCCTTCTCAAAGCTCGAGGGGGTCTCATCATAACACGCAACATCACAAAACATCCCCTTTTTCAAAATCCAGGGGGCTTGTCATAAACAAAATCATTGAGAGACCATCTTATGGGTCCTCATCACAACTTAAGCAGTCAACAATCAACATGGTAAGCATTTTGAGCCTCCAGGGCTCATAAATCTTCAAAATCCTCACAACCTTTCACAGACGGGCTGCGCTTCTTTCCCTTATACTCTGCCCTATCAACTGCCTGTGGGCAGGTCGCACAAGTATACCGAGGAGTAGACAGTTTTGCTTACAATCATATTCACAGTACCCATGATAAAATAAGATGTTTTTCACACACTGTCCATATAAACCTACCACACATCAGAGTACAACCACATATGTAGGAGAGACAAGTGATCGTCACATATAAGAATGGTACCTGAAATAAAACCTCATCATAATATACACTAAGGGAATAAAATGTCTCACCCAGAAAGTGTCTCCAAATCATAGCTCACTCAACTCAAGCCACACCAAACCCATACTGACAACAACCCCTAGAATACGTGTCAGATCTGTCTCTCAAAGCCAGTGCGTAGGCCACCTAAGTATGTACATGCCTCATCTAAATCACCCTGATCCTCAAGACTCCAGCTCAGTAGGAACACTAGAATTCAGATCTAGACTAGTAGCAATCAACAAAAAAATCCTCTAGGTTTACGAGGGTATCACACAGAACCGACTCTAATGCCTCACAAGATACTCCCCCATTTACATAGACAAACGGACCCTACATCCTCAACTCCTCCATGTTTTGCCTATATAACTGAGCCCTAAGTCCATCAGCGAACTTCTCTACTATCCTACCTTGTCTATTATACATCTTACCCCCTGCCTCTGAGACCTTCCCTGCTGCCTTATCCCCAAGGAACTCGAGACAGTCCAGAGCATGATGCACGTCCCTCTTGCAGTAGAAACATAGCCGATCAACCTTCCTCTTGAACTTCTTCTTCCTGGGCTGAGGAGGTGGTGATGAAGGAGATCCTACCAAGGTACTGACAACCCCTTGCTGCTCAAATCGAGGAGCTGCGGTATTAACGACCTCCTGCTGCTCTGTCCCAGGAACCGGTCCCCTAGACCTAGATCCGGTAGCCCAAGGTTCCGGTCTGCTCCTCAAATCCCCTGTCGCTGGGACGTACTCAGGCGTGTCCAACCTCTGAAGTCTCTTCTCGAGTGTCTCTCCTGGCGCTGCCATGGGCTGCTCCTCAATCTCCTTCGGCCCATACTCAGGCGTGCCCATCCTCTGGAGCCCGCCCTCGATGACACCCTCTGCCTCAATCCCCATCTCTCTCTCAAGAGACTCCTCTATCCTCTGCTCGGGTGAAAACAAACTCACCTCCTCCTGCATAGTATGCACCGCCTCAAGGAGCACGCCCATGGATCCCTCTGCTGAGCCCTGAGCCGGCTCACTGCTAGATGGTGCTAGCCCCTCCTCAACTGCCAAAGGTACAACTGGGCCCGCCGCTGCTACTGGCATCGTCGTGAGCTCGGTAGGGGCTCTGAACTCGAACGCCTCTCCCTCCGCCTGTCTCTGGGTTCTCGCCTCCTCTGGTTCCAGGATAACTCTCCCCATAGGTGGCTCCTGGCGAGGCTCTGCTGGAGATGGTTGTCCTGGCAACCCATGTTCTGGCTGCCTCTGCTCTCCCTGCCTGCTGCTCTCTAGCTTGTCCACCTTTTCCTGGGTTTGCTGCCTCAGGCTCTCAATGATAGCTGCCTGGCTGGCCACCAAAGCCCTGAGTTCCTGGATTTCCATCTCCATAGCCTCCAGGCGTACTCCATGGCTTGCTTCCTTTATCTTCTTCCCTGCTAGATCGCCCGCCAATAACAAGTGTCGGTCAAAAGTTGTCTTGGCCAGGAACTTGATCTTGCGATCTAACCTCTTTTCTGCCTTCCTTGCCACCCCAAACCTGGCCTTGACTGGCAAAGGAACCTCCTCTCCTCTCTGCTCCCAGAAGTCCCTCCACATCTCTGGGATCTCCGGGGCCCTAGCTGGCGCGCWGGGWRGCTGACCTGGGAGTGCTCCCGCTGCCTCCGACCTCTGCCTCTCCTGCTGCTGCTCCGGAAGCTCCCCCGCTGCCTCCAACCTCTGCCTCTCTTGCCATATCTCATCTATCCGCCTGGTTCTTCTCGCCCTCTTTTCTTCAGCCGTCTCCCCAGCTGACGCCCTTTCCCTCGTGCGGAGGTCGACCCTCTTTGGGATCTCTGCTTCCATCTCCTTGTCGGGCTGGCAGGGCTCCTGGCGTGGCTCTGCAGGTGTTGGCTCCTCCAGGTCTGGGTGCTCCAGGGCATAAGCTGCTAGATGTCTGTCAATCAGGGTCAAGGCCTCTTTCCTTACAGTTGCCCTCTCTCTCCTCCTTTCTGCTCTCCCTTCTCACGAAGGGGCCTTTTCTGATGAAGGCAATGGGGCCTCCTCTCTGTGCAACCTCTCCCCTACCTGGCGAGTGCTCCCTGGTGCATCCCCGAGTCTCAAACCCACCGCTGGCGTCTGTGGGGGCGTGTCCTCTCCAACCTCTATCACTTCCTTCCCTGCACGTCTCCCCTCATCGCCCAGCCCTCTCTCTCGCTGAGTATCCTGAACCTCCTTCCATGGCACCTCCTCTAGTGGCACCTCCTCCTGTGGCACCTCCTCTCATGACACCTCCTCTCGTGGCACCTCCTCTGCCTGCTCTTCATGCTTCTCGCCCCGAGGCGACGCCCTCCACCAAGAAATATCTAAATGCGTCTCCAATTCCCTCAAGGGATCCTCAGATGCTGGCGGCTCCTCCTGTGTGCGTGCTGGCGACCTCCTCAATTCCCCCTCGGTAAACCAATGGAACTCCACTGGTCCCAACCCAGACTCAGGGTATGCCCCTTGCTCCTCAGCCTCTGGCTCCGGCTCTGGTTCCTCTTCTCTTCTGGCTAGGGCCTTCCGTCCTCCCCGAGACGGTCTCGCCTCCCTGGGCTAAGGGTCCCTCTGCCTCTGACTCCTCTGACGCCTCTCAATTCGGGGTTGAGGGGGCTCTGGCCGTCGGAAGGCCTCTCTCAGGTGCGCCCTGCAACTCTCCCAGTCCCGGGCCATGTCTCTGACCTGCTTGGCCAGTGCCCTCTCCGCCTTTCAGGTCCAGAGGGGTAACGTCCTCGCCCTTTCATCTCTCGGTATACCCTGCCCCTGCATGAACCACTCGAAGGCAGGAATAAAATCCGCCGCATTTCCGATCTCTAGGCGGATCGGCCTGCCATCTGGTCCAACAAGTGAAGGTCGCAGCTCCTGCATCCTCGTCTCCACCTCCTGCCTCGTCGTCGCCTCCCTACGAATCCTGGTAATGGGCTCCTCGAACCTGCCTGCTCCCCTCAGCCTCTGAATCGCCTGGGCCATGGTCCAGCCCATACGCCTCGCATGATCCCAAAAGTTGTCCTGTAATAGCTCGATGTCCCCATCATCGTACACAGGAGTACTCTCTCGATGGCGAGGCCCATGCTGCTCATATCCTCGTGATGCTCCCAACGGCCTCTGAGGCGGCCGTGTCCCCTTCCCTCCTCTTGGGATGGCTGTCTTCGTAAAGTCAGACCTGCACAACAGGCGAACGAGACAACGGGCTCACATTGGGGTAAGCAAACAGGTGGTAGTCAAAGCAAGCTCAGACCAGACCACACTCATACAGCATGCATCCTACCTAACCTATACACCCTGCTTCTTTTATTCTAAAGGCAGTCAGGTCATCTCTCTTACCTCTTCTCTCACCACAAATTCCTCCAGTCGCGTTCCAGATACCCAATCCTTCCACTCAGTCCCATTTAACTCCTCAATCTGGTACGCTCCGAAGTCTCCGACACGTGCGATCCGGTAGGACCTAACCACCTCTTATCGAGTTTCTTGGACCACTGCTTTTCCAGCGATGAATCGTAGAGAAGCACAATATCCCCAACTGCCAAGGGTACTTTCCTCACCCGCGCAGACTAATCCCATCGAGCCTTATCATCCATACGGCTTCTCGCCACCTGGTCAGACGCCTCCTGGATCCTTTCTTCTACACCCCTATCGATCGCGCCCGGATATCGAGCAAGTCTTCAAATGACAGGTTAACTTCCAGATCCTGGCGCCTTCATGTCTTAAGAAAGTTTTCGATAGGGAAGGTGGCGTGCCTTCCGTACCACAGCGTCGCAAGTGCGTACTTGGTGGATCTTTTTATTGTAATGTTCTCGACAAAAAATGTCGCCTTTAGATACCTTGGCCATTGATTAGGCCTACCCTCGGTCCACTTATCCAGGAGACTCGTAACGGTACTATGTCCTCTCTCCACGGGAGCATTTGCCTAAGGGTGCGAGGCCGTGGTGTAGTTGGCTGCTACACCATACCTTGATAACAGTTCTTGCACCTCCTGACAGGTATACTCCGATCCCCTGTCCATTACGAATTCCCTGACGAAAGGACAGTGCAGGTAATACTCCTCGATGCAGCTCACCAGGACTGACCCGGTCTTTGTGCGAATAGCGCGCCCGTCTACAAAGTCGGGCAGCTTATTGCGCGTATCGAAGATGTAGTTATAGCCCTGATCCCCAAGCGGCATAAAAAATAGATCGAGATGCACTACAGCCCCTACCTCTCGCTCTAGCCTTGGATGCAGCGACTCTCCTTGCCTTAAACGGGATCTCTCCTGACAGGGTACGCAGGATCGGCAGAACTTCCCGACCATATCCATCATCCCATCCCAGTAGTACAACTCACTTATTTTGGCATACGTGGCTTGTACCTCTCGATGCCCTCCTGCAATGCCATCGTGAAGCGTTGCTACGACGTCGACCTGATGATTCCTACCGCAGACGACCCTCCTGGGATTCCTCACTTCTCTTCTTACGAAAAGGTGGCCGTCTCACACTAAGTAGCGCTGCAGCATCCTCTGAGCCCTATCGCTCGCATCCCTTAGCCGCATTTCGCATGACAGAAGAAGCCCCAACTCTAGGTAGATCCCGTCGTACTCCTCTGCACGAAAAACCTCCTTAATCTCCCCCTCCTCGAACTCGTCGTCCTGGCTCTCGGGCACTTCGTCCACATTCCCTGCCGGGTTCAACGAGCCTGACTGGTCGAGGCTTCCTGCAATAACGTGTTGACGAGGAGATACATTCCTCCCATCAGGTCCTCATGCCGTTCTACCTGGCCAGGTCCTTCCTCAATCGTCCTCATATCCTCCACCAGGCTATGCGAGCTGGCCAATGCTAACTCCACCATCCACTGAACATCCTTACCACCACAAGGATCCTCTTCTTCAAAGGGTTTGAGGACTAGCTCGGCCCTCCTTTCATACCTATTCGGTGCTTGCCAGATAGGATAGCCTACACAGCTAGGCACTCGCGGCGACCACTTGTTGATATGGAGACGAACATCTTCTTCCTGATCCAGAAATCCATCAACTGGGGGCGTATTCTCCATCGCCTCCCCTCCCCGTTTATCTCAGTTGATCCGACTCAGCCCGTCCGCCCGGTTCTTACTACCAGGAATCCGTTCCAATTCGAAATTGAACATCCAGATGTATGTCAGTCATCTGGCAACCGTCGGATCCGATGGAACGTAATTCCTTAGAGAGTAGGCCAATGCGGTCGGATCCACTCTCAAAATAAATCTCCTGCCGAAGATGTATTTCCGTAAGATTCGCAGACAGTGGAGGACGGCAAGGGTCTCCCTCTTGAACTGAGAGTAGTTCCTCTCGGTCGTACAGAGAGTCCGACTCTCAAATCTCAAGGGTCTTTCCTTTCCTTCTATGTCTGTCTGGATTAGAACTCCTCCTAAGGCAATTGGCCCCGCATCTGTTTCGACAATGAAGGGTCGTGTTTCTGTTGCATCATAATCTGGCGCTCCTAACACCAACCCTCCTCGAAATTCCTCCTTCATTCTGGCCACCACCTCTTCCTGCTCTTCACCCCAAACCCATTACCGATCCTGACGGACTAACTTCCTCATGTGTTAAGTCTTAGCGACAATTCTTGACTAAGGCCCTCCAAGATACATATGTACCAAGGAAGCTCCTGACATCAATTATTGAGTGGAACAGAACTGGCCACTCAGTAATCTTGTCCGTCTTCTTCACATCCGGCCTCCGGCCCTTCTCGCTGCAGACGAACCCCAAAATAGTCGCTTCCCTCATG